CATATATAGAGATAAAATTCAGAAATATGCGAAGGGACTATTTTATAAACTACACCAAGAAGAAAAATAAAATATGCCGAGTACAGTATATAAATTACATCATCACGAGCGTATCCTAATCAACATTTTAAAACAATTTCATAATTTGAATTACGTTACAAACATGAGGTATGTTGAAATACGTAATTATTTTTCTACAGCAGCTACATATTTTTAAAATAAGCAAATATTCCCGTACTTGATAAATAAATAAGTTAGTTGAATATTTTCTATACGTTGCGCGTACAATTCAAGAATTACACATGATTGTTTTTTTTTTTTGCTTTGGAAAGAACAGTGCATTACTATCTCTAAATTTTAGAAGAAAGGAAAAAAAGGTTATTTGAGATTTAAAATGCCTGTATTAGAAACAAAATATTCAAACGCAGCAGAAAAGTAGTTTGATGGGAAAGATTAATCAATCTTTTATTGGAGTTGCTTACTATAAATGGAACACTTTTCTACGTAAGATCAATGTATATTTAGTTAGAATTATAGCTTACTACACATATTAACTACAGATATTTTATTTGGTCAGGTGTAACTACAATCAGTACAGAAAACGTTCTTTTATAGCAGATTCCTCAAAACATTACGAAGAACCCAATAAATAATAATACCAGCTATAATTCTGAAATACGAAAAGTGCATCGACTGATGACTAACTATATCCTATGTTTTAATTTCTTTCTGTACTTCCAACATACTTGAAACATCTGGCACAATGCACATTAAACAGTTACAATACTCCCCCCCCCCCAAGTAACAACTTGACATGAAAGTTTCTATTACTGACCTTTGCCCACAGTTATTGTACAGGCTGCATCTCGTGAATGATGGCCCGAAGATGTAACGGACCGAACACTTATCCTGTGAAGCTGGAATAAAAGATATTAAGCCACTTAATACGATTTTCATTATCCTACTCACAGCTACTTATAACAGCTGAAATGCCAATAGTGTGTGTTTGTGTTTCTGTTTGTAACTTGCTTGTTGCTAGTGTTGTGGAATGTCTGCACGTTACCATTTGATTTATCAAGTAAAGTGGCCTAATGATTTTAATTACACCTACATGCAAGTCATTTCAGGGTCGTTATGCAGTAGTGTAAAAAACATGTATCTCTTTTGCTAAAATTAAATACTACAAATGCTGAATAACAACTGACAACAGAAAATACATAAGGTGCTACTGATCATAATATTAGAGTATTAGTAACCCGGTAAACGACTCTGAATATGTACAGCTTTTTAAAAAAATATCTATAACACAAAAAAAACTTGTGAACACCAACATTCAAAATACTTATCTACCAACAGGACTATAATATTGACTAAATCTGAGAACACTGACCTGTGAAGAATCAACCCCTTCCACCAGAGCACGTGTTCTTTCAGAACTCTGTACTGTAGCTTTCAATACCCCATCTACATATACATGATACATCTGTATATCTCCTAGAGGTCCCTCTGGTGGAAGCCAGCCAATCAAAATACTCTTGTTTAATTGTCTTTCAAGAATCAGCCTTTGTGGAGGTTGAACTGCAGAAGAGTGTAATTATTTTTAGTAAAAAAACAATGAGACAGCTTTGTCTGCAACCTTTTTTTTTATTATTCAGACCTGTAGTGCCTATTATCCAACCAATTGCTACAAGTAAAAGCTGATTGTTTGGTTCATTTATAGTAAAACCACATCCGCCGTGGGGAACTGAACCCCAGATTTTAGCATTATAAATCCATAAACTTATCACTGATCCATTGGAAGATAGTAAAAGCTGAAGTTAAAAGGCTGCTCTAAACCATTTTAGTGTCACTTACAAAAAAAAATAAGAAAAAAGGAGACAAAGTATTATAAATACAGGAATTTATAACAAGCTTGTTTGGTTCTGCGGAGGTTTCAACCCTATAAACACTCCTCGATACAAAGGTTATGCTGTAGGTCCACCCTTTACCATGATCTTGAAGTACTTTAAGCCCAAATGTAAATTACAATAATATTGTTTAAAAAACTTATTTCTGAAAGAGACCAGTCAGAGAAGCTAAACATTCGTTTTATTTAAAATTTTAACTTTTATCATAAAAATAAAAGAGAGAGTGAGACACATAACAACCAAAACAAACTACATATCAGTTCTTTTATCAACTGCAAGTGCTTGTAACTTAAAATATACATGTTGAAGTTGATGATATTCCACGTACAAGTATTAAAGTACCGGATTATCAAGCACGTAACTGTACCTTTATTTTTTCAGAACAGGTGACTGCAACCGAATCTAATTGTAGGTAGACTATTTTAACTAAACAGAAACTCAATATAAAATTCAAAACAACAATTACCTGCTATTGTCTGAGTATTTAAAAAAAATAATGACCTCTCAGCAGGATCAAAAATATACAGGATAGACACGGGAATATTTTAATCAAAAATACAGGAATTTAAAGGAATTTTAGGGCAAAATAAAGGACTGCGTTAAATTGAAAATGCTGCACATTACCATTATCACTTAAGTAATCTTTAAACTTACAAAAATCCTGTTACTAGTAATTACTCTTTTAAATTTGTGCATCATACATACTGATCTTATTCCAGATCATCATTTCATATCGCTCTGTCTTGCACCAGTTCTTTAAAAAAGAAATGAAACAACTTACTGACATGGATCTCTTTGATACACGAATAAACCGTAATATATATCAAAACGTTAACTCTTGCATAAACTGTTTGTAATTAAGCAGTATGTTACACAACGGGCTATCTGTGCTGTGCCCGAATAAACCGTAATATGTATATCAAAACGTTAACTCTTGCATAAACTGTTTGTAATTAAGCAGTATGTTACACAAGTGGGCTATCTGTGCTGTGCCCGAATAAACCGTAATATATATATCAAAACGTTAACTCTTGCATAAACTGTTTGTAATTAAGCAGTATGTTAC